GGCGAGGGTCCTGAGCGTGCAGGCGAACAGGGCCGTGTGTGCGCACTCTCGGAGGGGCTGGCGGGATGGTCCTCCACGTCCTCCTAGGTACACCACGCAGGCTTCTGCCTCCGGTCCAGCTGGGAAACAGTTGCCGCAGCTGGAATAGTACTCGCTCTCCAAAAAAATACTACGCAAGGGGGTGGGGAGGGCGGGAGGGAGGCTGGGTCTTCGCTCCCTTACAGAGATGCTGGGAGAAACACAACCCGAGTCAGTGGGTACCTGTGCCTGGCCGTGCGTGTGTGGGTTCTGCCTGTGACACTTGGGCTGGGGGTCAGAGAGCGGTGATGGTCGTGTAGACAGATGGTAGATGACATTTTTCCAGACAGCTCTTAAAGTTCGCTTAGGTGAGCCGCTGTTGCTTGGGGTCTGGTTTCTAGGTGGTGTGTACATCTGATCCGAGCCAGCAGGGCCGTGGAAGCTCCAGCGCCCACAAGGAGCAGGGGCCAAGGGGCTCCCCCTTCCATTGCAGGCTCCCTGGGGGAGAGGGCAGGTGAACCCTGGGTGGCTGTCCTCTGTCCTACCGGCTCCCTCCCACAGGGCATGGCAGTGTGGGCTGAGCCCTGTACAGTGAGGCTGCTCCAGCCTGGAGCGTGCTGGGACGCAGCCTGTTCGGGGACTGGAGGGCAGGGAATGCCGGGTGGCCAGTTCTGTCCTCAGAGGCCAGGACAGCGTGGGCAGGGGATGGGTGGGTGGTGTAACTGTCAGGATTGGGTTTCCACACCTGGCTCCTCGGCCAGCTTGAGACTTTGTGTTAAGGTACCAGTTGGGGGATGCAGATTAGTTTATAAGAGGCTAAGGGAAAGCACATGAGGTCCTAGGATGACTGCTGTGGTTTCCAGAGGACCGGGTAGGATGGAGAGCAAGAATAGCTCCTACTTAAACTGATTCCCTCAAGAGGAACCTTCATTCTGATCCGTAGAAAGTTGCTGTCCGCCCCGAGGTATATTTAGCTGCTGTGTACTTCTGTGAGCCGCGCCAGCGTTCTTGGTCGTCTCTGAATTGCAGTGGGTTAAGGAATTAAATAGCAAGCACCCGAGGGTACACAAATGGGGCTTCCTCCATAGAGAGTCCTTCTGCCCGTGAGATGTGGCCCAGAAAAGATCTCTGAACAACTCCCTTCTGTCTGCAGCTTTCTGATTCTCTGCTTCACCTTCCAGAGGGTGAACTTTGATGCTGGCCGTGAAAGGTTGTTCATTAACATTTGCAACGTGAAGTCCAACGTTGGGGTGGACTTAGTGGCCAGAAAGACAGGGCCCCAGTCCGCATCCTCTTGGATCCATCCAAATGGGTGTCATGCTTTGGTAGCTGAGACAAAGGTCACTTTGCACTTTACTCGGAGATAGGGACTGGATGAGACTGCCTTTTGTGTCACATGGTGACTTTTTCTTTCTTCCCCACTTCCCCTTCTCTGCAGACTCTTGAGTTCTTCCTGAATTGCCAGTGTTCAGCCTCCTCATGCCTCCATCTCCTTTAGACGACAGGGTAGTGGTGGCACTGTCTAGGCCTGTCCGACCTCAGGATCTCAGCCTTTCTTTAGACTCCAGTTACCTTGGTGCTGCCACCCCCAGCAGTAGTGGCCATCCTTCTGTCATCGCCACCACTGTTGTGTCCCTCAAGGCTGTGAATCTGACGTATATGCCCTCATCCAGCGGCTCTGCCCGCTCCCTGAATTGTGGATGCAGCAGTGCCAGTTGCTGCACTGTGGCAGCCTACGACAAGGACAGTCAGGCCCAGACCCAAGCCATTGCTGCCGGCACTGCTGTTCCCGCCGTCGGAACCTCTGCCGCCTGCCCTGCCAACCAGATGGTCAACAACAATGAGAACACAGGCTCTCTAGGTCCATCGGGAGGGGTGGGCAGCCCCATGACAGGGGCCCCCAAGCAGCTCACCAGCATCAGAATCATCTACCCCAACGACTTGGCCAAGAAGATGACCAAGGGCAGCAAGAGCCACCTGCCCAGCCAGGGCCCTGTCATCATCGACTGCAGGCCCTTCATGGAGTACAACAAGAGCCACATCCAAGGAGCGGTCCATGTCAACTGTGCTGACAAGATCAGCCGGCGGAGGCTGCAGCAGGGCAAGATCACCGTCCTGGACTTGATTTCCTGTAGGGAAGGCAAGGACTCTTTCAGGAGGATCTTTTCCAAAGAAATCATAGTTTATGATGAGAACACCAATGAGCCGAGCCGGGTGATGCCCTCCCAGCCTCTTCACATAGTCCTGGAGTCCCTGAAGAGAGAAGGCAAAGACCCCCTGGTGTTGAAAGGTAATGACCCCGCTGCCTCCCACTACACCCTTCTCCTTGCCCGCACCCCCCAAACGGAGATAGATGTTTTCCACCCCATCACCTTCTCCTCCTTGCCTGTTCTTTAGCATTTTGCAATTGTAAGAAAAGTGCAGCAGCCTTGGGCTGGAGGCTGAAGGCCTGAGTCCTTGCCTGGCCTGGCTTCTGATGCATGCCTAGGGCAGACCAGGCCAACTCTCTAACCGGCCATGTGGGCAGTGTGCCTGGGAGCTTGGTGAGAGCCACTGCTTGTTAGACCAGTGGTGTGGATGGACAGAGGGGCAGAGCTCCCGGAGAACTGTTCTTTGGGAAGGAATCTCTCCCTCTTTCCCCCTCTCTGGCCAGCTTGGCTTTTGGCTGGTTGCTAAAGTGACCTTCGAGAAGGGCAGAGATCTGTGTGAGGGCCCTAGTGAAGAGGAAAAAAAGTTCACCCCTGTATCCATCACTGCCCCATGCCCAGAGGGACACAAGCACCTCAGTGACATTCTCCCCAGCCTGTGGTTGTTTTGGCTTCATCTGATATCAGCCAGCATCGTGGCTTCTCCCAAGAAGGCATGGTGGGTGGCTTTCCCTGTCCGCAGAACGTGGAATGTCTCGTCATAGGACCTGGGCCCAGAGGAAGAATTCAGGAACCTCCTCTGGGTGCCTGGCGGCAGGGCTGCCTGGGCTGGCAGAGGGGTCTCGTGCCTGCCTGGCCCCTCTCTGCAGAGCCTGTCCCTGTGCCTTCTCTCCTCTGGGCGTCTTCTGCCTGGGAGTGGTAGTAGGACAGGCATCTTCCTCCCTGCCTCCTTTCTGTGTTCTGACCATGGTGTCAGCAGTGTCTGGGGCCCAGCTCAGCCAGCTCCCGGATGTGTTGAGCCATGGTGTTGCTGGTCACCCTGTCACCCTGTGTGTTTACATAGCCACCATCCACTTAGGTGAGCCAGGTCTTGGGGGAGCCGCTCTGCCATTGCCCCTAGGGTGACACCTCCTGCCTTCTCCCACACAGTGGCCTTGGAAGCGGGTCCTGGATCCCTTTGCCATCGCTGCCCTCCCAACTCGCACTCCTGTGCTCAGGTCACTCTCCTTGGGTCAGTGTCACAAAGGTGCTCTTTCCTGGGGAGGGGCATTCAGTGGAGGAGGTCATCCCACAGCAGAATGCAGAGAGATCCAGCAGCCTGGGCACTGGAGGAGGTTTACTTGGAGCCTCCTAGGGGTTCAGGATCCTCCGTGAGCTCTGTATTCTATTCCTGTTTTCGTGTGTGGTTGATGTCTAGTGTTTCCTAGTAGCTTCCCCCGCTGTTGTTCTTGCGTGGTACTCTTGGCTGGGCTTGTCTTTCTCCGAGGAGAAACCATCTACAGAGTTCCACTTGTGATAGTTTGTCTTGGGAAACAGTGACAGACGGGCTTGCTGGTCTCATTTCTCCCACAGAGTCAATATTCTTGATGAAAAGTGGCTTATTGTGTCTCCATAGTGAAACGCATCAAGCGATCCACATTCAGACAACCCGCACTTGGGTGTGGGTGATGAGGAGGAGGTGGACCCCACCCGGCTGTGGTGCAGTGGGCCTGTCAGGTGGTGAGAAGGGAATGTCTTGGGGTCCTTGAAGGTGGGGTTCATTTCACTCTGCTGTGGGTACAGCTGGGTGCCAGGCAGGCACTGTCCCTTGCCGGGTAAGATTGCCTGGTGGGGTGGGGCGGGGC